TTTATACATCATACGTAGGACTCTAACCCACAGGTAGGATTTGCACCCACAGGTTTTCATAGAAATCTGCCTTGGCCCTTCCCTGATGGGATTTCTCTTGGCGGCAGGAAAATAAAGGTGAGGATATTGTGATGATTGTACTTGCAAAAACTATAGGATATGAGAGTTGAACCTCTATCACTCTCAGAAATCTCCTGTCCGGGAGAGCCTGCTGGACCAAGACCTGCACTGCTTGAGGCGAGCCTCTCCCACCTCTGTTTGTCATCCATCGAGGTGAGTCGTTGTTAGCCAGAGGGAGCATGGTGTCACAAGCTGAGAGGAGTGGTGCTGTAGCTGCCCGATGTCCACTCTGTTGGAACAAGAGGACAGAGAAAGGGGAAGTAGAGAGCTATCAGGAGAGGGAAAGGGAAAACCATGAGGGAAAAAGGACAAAGCGGAGGGGAAAGCGTTGCCTGAATGATGGTACTGAGACTCTCAGGGGCCAGGAAGGCAGACTTACCAAACGTGGTTATGCTGAAACAAGAGGTTCAGGCGGCAGCTTGTCACCTATGGGGAAAGTGCGTTTGTTGGTTCCAGAGGTGCCTGGATTCTCTCCCAGGGAGGGGGCAAACGGCCCCATAGGTGTCCGGTGGAGTTGCCACCACGTACGTTACCGACCCAGATTCTTGGACTCTTCAGTGAACAGAAATTGATGAGGCCAGACGAGAAATTCAGGCAAGGCTTTATTGGGACTCATGCTGCAGCACAAGGGAGCAAAAAGAACAGGTTGCCTTGCTTGCTCCCTGAAGCGGGGCTGGGGGGTGAGTTGGTCCTTTAAATGGGGTGAGGGTAGGGTCAGACCCATGGTTCAGGCGGTAGGGGTGGCTTAGGTGGTCTGCCCACCCTCTTGGTGGTGTCGTGGGCAGGAATGGTGAATAGTGCACTCCTTTTGCTCCCAGCAGTTCAGAAGTGGCAGTTGGGTTTTTGGTCTTTTTGTATATTGTTCATAATTTGCCCCATTTGCAGGTGCATAGTTATTTTTAGTCCCTTATGGTTTCTTTGTATTCTTTTGCTCAGGAGATGTTTGTCCAGGTGTAAGCACTGCACCAAAGGGTGCCAGGTCCCACCCTGTCTCACTAGTTGTTGCTGTGTGGCCTTGGACACCTCCTGGAAGTCTCAAAACCTATTTATTTTAAGGATGCTGTGGTGAGGATTAAAGGTGGGTTCCATGTGACTGAGTGGACTCTGTAGGGCCTTTGGGGATACTGACATGCATAGTACACTTAGCCCTTGAACACCACCAGCTTGAGCTGTGCAGGATCCACTTACATGTGATTTTTTCCAATAAATAGTACTACAGTACTACTGGATCCCTGGTTTGTTGAATCTGCAGATACGGAACCATGGTTACAGAGGGTGGGTGAACTGTAAAGTTGTATGTGGATTTTCCATTGCACAGAGGGTTGGGATCCCTAACCCCTATAGTTATTCAAGGGTCAACTGTATATTCTGGATGATATAATTTCCGGGCTAAATGCTATGAAAAAAATAAAATTGGGTGATGTAGAAAAGAATGTGAGCAGAAGGCCTCACCAAGGGGGTGACATTTGAGCTAAATGAAAAGGAGTCAGCCATGGGAACATCTAGTGAAGAACATTCCAGGTGGGAACAGCCAGTGCAAAGGCCCTGAGGTGGGAACAAGCTTGTTTGAGGAATATCAAGGATACAGCAGAGTGATGGATTTCAGATGTTTAAGACGTAGAGCCTAATGTCTTGCTTTGGCCCATTTGGGAAGGAGGGGCACAGGGGTTCAACAGCAGAGGGTGGGTCCTAAGCTGGACCACTCCCTCTCTTTAAGGGCAGGTGGTGCCATGCATCCTCACATGAACTTGTGTGACCTGTATTCCCTTATGGAGAGAGGAAGGAGGATCAAAACTTTGCATTGGCCTAAGTGCTTCAGACACGTGCTTATATTTTCATTCTCATGTGCACTGTGCCAGGTAGGAACCATTGTTATTCCTGCTTTACAGATGAGAAAACTGAGGTCTGAAAGGGAGCATTCCTTTACCCAAAGTTGTAAACTTAGTAATAGAAGTATCAACCTTCAACCTATGTTCCTTCACTGACCAGCATGGGTACCTGCAGGTATTGGGGGTGTCTCTGTCCCCTTTGGGGACTCTCAGAGCCCTCAGGGCACTGGGCTCCAGTTGTCCATCACTCCTAATTCGTGATGCCAGCAGATCAGTGGTGGGTGCTTGTCCCACATTGGCTAGATGAACCCGCTGTGGGTAGGAGTCTTCAGGGGGTGGAGGGGTGGAGATGCACAGGGCTCCCTTGCATGGGCTTGCCATGTGGGACATCACTGGAGGTGAGCCTGAGGAGGCTTGGCTGGATGAAGACACCAAGGCCCTGCAGACATGAGTAGCAGGGTTCCGTAGCAGGGTTCCCAGGGTACCTGCACTACTGGAGGTGTGCTGTTGCCTGGGCTCCATCACCAGGTAGATCGTCTAGGCTGGTCCATGTGGGTCACTCTGCTCCTTCCCATGGCTGGGAGGTGACCCCTCTAAATATAGCCCAGTGTGCTGAGCTCACGCCTATTTTCAGCCCAGGTTGGGAGGCAGCCAGGCCTTCCCCAGGCTCTCAGAGGAGCCACTGCTGCGTCTATCTGGTCCTGGTACTAGGCACTCTTATCGACCCCCTGCCTGCCCAACACCCAACATGCCGGAGGAGGCCCAAGAAGGTAGGAAATCACTGTGAGGGAGGGTAAGGCCCCAATGCTGTGACCCTGTGGACCATGGAGAAACCTGGCCCCTTTCCTACTGACCTCACTTGAGTAGTCATCAGTCACCGTGTCCTAGGTCAAGTAAAAGGACTGGCCCCCTATGTGTGAAGGAAGGGCCTACCATGCCCCGAATGCCTCCTCACCTCATACCTGTACAGGGAGGGGTTGGGGGCAGGGGAGGGTCAACTACAGGCTGTGCCCAAGTGGGTGTGGGCTGGGCAGGCTGGCCAGTTAAGCTCTTCCTTCAGCGAGGGCACTGGGATTGGGGGCAGGCAGTGGTTTTGCAAAGCATTTGGGCACATGACCCAGGGACTGGGAGTGGATAGGTTTCTTGCCTCCAGTGTGGGCCTGTGTTGCCCCAACTGGCTAAAGGTTGGGGTCTCTTGGCCTGGCCGGACTGAATTCTAGTTAAAGACTTTGGTGGCCACTTTCCTAATTGACTCACAGCATGCAAGATGTATGGAGGCTCAGAGGGGCCAGAGCAGGGACCTGGTAAGCTTCAGGTACAGTGCTGGCCAGGATGCAGGACCAGCTGCACCAAGGCTCCAGCTTGGCCCAACTGGTCAACTCCCCCCATCACATTTTTGACATTTTATACTGAATGGGAGGGGCCTGGCCCTGGGTGTGGGAGTGTTTGCTTCCTTTTGAGGTCTTTTTTTTTTTTTGAATATTTATTTATTTTTGGCTGCGTTGGCTCTTCGTTGCTGTGCGTGGGCTTTCTCTAGTTGCGGTGAGTGGGGGCTACTCTTCGTTGCGGAGCACGGGCTTCTCATTGCGGTGGCTTCTCTTGCTGTGGAGCATGGGCTGTAAGCGCCCGGGCTTCAGTAGTTGTGGCTCACAGGCTTTAGAGCGCAGGCTCAGTAGTTGTGGCGCACGGGCTTAGCTGCTCCGCGGCATGTGGGATCTTCCCAGACTAGGGCTCGAACGCGTGTCCCCTGCATTGGGATCTTCACAGACTAGGGCTCGAACGCGTGTCCCCTGCATTGGCAAGCGGATTCTTAACCACTGAGCCATCAGGGAAGTCCCCTTTTGAGGTTTTAAGGATGGCATTTACTATGTGTTCTTCCTGGAACAGAAAGAACCCAAGATCAATTTAAAAGTGTGGGAAAAACACAGCCAAGTGCACAGAATTTAATGCGAAGCCCAATCCACCACCACCCAGACATAACGACAAACAGCACTGGTTTTTGTTTTACACATTTTTGAGCATGTCAAAGGTCAGTTTCAAGCAAATCATGAAGGTTAAGGTACTATTCTGAAAGTGTTAGACCCAGAGAGCCCAATCACCCTTGAGTCTATCAGGAGGTATCCCGCCAATGCCCCTGAATTTGTTATCTAGCTTCCAGCTAGGCATCTGGAGATCTTAAGGGGCCAAGATTTTTTTTTTTTTTTTTTTTAATTTTTCTGCATCGGGTCTTAGTTGCGGCATGCAGGATCTAGTTCCCTGACCAGGGATCGAACCCGGGCCCCCTGCATTGGAAGTGCAGAGTCTTAGCCACTGGACCACCAGGGAAGTCCCAAAGGAGCCAGGATTTTAAGGGGAGGGGTGGAAAGCACCACCAGAAGAAAATATAATTTTTAGAAATCACAAAATAAATACTTCACTGGGTCCAAAAATAAGTAATTAAAATCACAAGCATGGTACACAGCCCCAGTGACTAAATGGGCAGCGGCTGTGAACTAGAAAACCACACAGATATTGGTGAGGCCTCCCAAGCAAAGACCCCCAACAAAATTGGTCAAGAAAGGCCTTTTCTCATCTTCCAACTTAGCAAATATATATGTGCACACTTATGTACATAAATTTTTTTCTATGGAGATGCCTGTTGGTGGCGATATTGTACTCTTTTGGAGGCTGTGGACAACTACTCCAGAGGACAATGTGATGATAGGTTAAAAGAAAAAGTCCCTGCTGTTTGACCCAGTAATTCTGCTTCTGGGAATCCATCCTTAATAACTATTGGGAAATTGGGGGAAAGCCCTTATACTCAATGACGCGTGTCCTTTTCTAGGGGTTATTAATTTAGGAAGGGGATTGGAAACAACCTAAATGCCCAGGCAGCCTCGAAGAGATACCTGAGGGGAGACCTCAAAGGCAAGTGGAACAGTTTGCTAACAAAGACGGGTCTCCTCTCATCATATTGAGTGAGAACAGCAGGTTCATAGCAGAATCACACTTAGTATGTAAAAGGAGGCAGAGCTGAGGCCAGGAGCAAAAGGCAAAAAGCAAAAAGCTGGCTAGAATAGGGCTGCTTCTGCTGGGGACCGGGAGAAGGCCCCAGGCACAGGGGTCTGCAGGGAAAACTGATAGCAGAAGCAGGAATGAACTTCATGGACTGTGGGTTGAGTTCTCCAAGGCTGATAAATTCTCTAGAAACGAGCAAGCAGAGAGGAATGCCTGAAAGTCCCTGAGGTGCTTGGAAGGAAACAAATGTTAAGTCAAGCAGCACCTCCTGCTACTGTGGGTGAAACAGGTGTACGCAGTTTTCACATTATCTTGCTTCCAAATCACGGGTCACTCCTGAGTTGGTTTTAGGGGATCAGGAGCCAAATGCCCCTGCTACCTCTTCTGAGCCCCTGCTGCCACTCGACACCATCTAGAAGGGAGGGCATGACCTGCTGGCTGAATCAGCCCCACGCTGCCCCTGCAGACACCGTGGCACCGACAAGGAGCAGGGCACCACTGGCTCCTAATCATGTGCAGGAGGTTCGCCTACACCGGGTGGAGTCCATCAGCGAGCTACACAGTGGAGGTGAAAGGGTGCAGGGGGGTGGGGCCCATGGACTGGGAGAAGGGAGGAAAGCAGGTGCACCTGCCGCCCTCCTGATCCCCCGTTTGCCCTGCAGGTTCACTGTGGCCCTACCTGGCCGAGGAGGCGCAGCCATGGGATGAGCTGTTGGGCATCCTGCGTCCACCGATGTGCGCCCAGACCGGCTGCAGCCCCGTGCACAGCCGCGGCAGCTTCCTGCTGCTGCTTGCGCTGCTGGTGCTCACCTGCCTGGCGTTGGCTGTCCTGGCCGTCTACCTGAGTGGTAAGGAGGGCGCTGGAAGCCAGTGGAATGGAGAGACCGAGGCAGTGAAGGGCTGGGAGGGCCGGGTGTTGTGGGGTTGCATGTGGTCTGATAATCCCCCCCTGTCTTAGTGCTGCAGAGCGAATCCCTACGCGTTCTGGCACACACACTGCAAACGCAGGAGGAAATGCTGCTCAAACTCCGGCTCGCCAGCCTCAGCCAGCTGCGGAGGCTCAACTCGAGTGAGGCCCGAGCACCCAGTTGAGATACCACTTGGACCTGGGGCCTGGGGGTATGTGTAGGGGGGAATAAAGTGGCCGCTGGTAGCTTTCCCCTCTCCCACTACTGCTCCACACTACTTCCTTAGTGAGGTTTTCGTATAAGAGCCTGATCTGACCCCGCAGCTGTCTGCGTTTCTTGCCTTCTCAAGCTAGGCCTAGCCAAGCCTTCTGGTGCCAGAGCCCCACTTGGTGTGGCCCAAGGTCAGAGGAAGCGACACCAGCCTCCTGGCTCCTCTTGGGGCCTGTCAGCACCCTCTGGTCTCCTCCTGATAGCAGGTTCAGGAGTCTAAAAATAGCTGCCTACCCTGGTCACCCAAACTCTGCTGGGCCTCCCAGTGGGGGTCCAGCCTCTGCTCTCCAAAGACAGGCTGGGCTCTGAGTAGGGGGAGGAGGGCCCCTGGGGAGAGATTATTTTGGAGAGCAAAGGTGAGATGGAGATAGGAGGCCCAGCTGGGCCCAAGCCTGGGTTGGTGGATAGGGAGGGCAGGCAGAAACACCCAGAAGCCAGGGCCACAGAAGACTGCACATTGTTTAATTATCTCTAAAATCTTTAAAACTCAGCATATAAGGTAGCCTCACCACCCCACGTTGTAGTGGCAGTTGTCCAGATATTATCACCTCCCCCCCCGAAAGTGGGTCATCCCAGGGGAGCAAGGCCTGAGAAAGGCTTTGTGCCTGCCCCACAGCCGAGACAGGGCAGGAAGTGGCCACAGGGCCAGTGCAGGGGCAAAGCATGAAGGTCCCAAGTGGCCTGGCCTCCAGCCACCCACCTCCATGTCTGTTTTTGGTTTTGTCATTAAAAAAATAAAGCGACAATGCCTGGCAGGGACCAGGTGTCGCACTGTCTTCTGTTAAAAATACAGGCAAGGATGGGGACAGTCTCCTCTTCAGCTGGTCCTGCCTCACAGGATGTCTGCCCGCTTGTCCCGCACGCGGCTGCGCGCCTTGGTCCTGGCTTTGAAGGCAGCAGCGTTGTACAGGTGCTGGGGTGGGACAAAGAGTGAGGGTCTAGTGAGCTGGGAGGAGGCAGCCCAGGGCTTCTCCTCCAGCCCCTGCAGAGCTCCAGGCCACAGGAATGGAGAGAAGACAAAGGGGCAAACCTTCTCAAAACGTGAGATTTTGCAGGCCTTCAGGGCAGTGGCATCCAGCACCAGCACAGGGCCCAGACCAAAGATGTCACGGAGTAGCTCGTTGTTCTGGTGGCAAAGAAGGCAGTGAGCTCAGGCCAGTCTGAAACAGCCAAGTGGGATACCCCTTCCCCATCCGCCTCCCCACCTGGAGGTGGTGGTGCATGCCGGAACCCAGCGCGTCCTTGAAGGCAGCATAGACCCGGCGCCGAGCCCAGCTGTCCACATAGAGCACCTCGAGCCCGAAGCGGACTGTCTCCTCCTCACACTCGCCACCCTGCAGGGTAGAGGGGCTGTGACTGGGCTTGGCGGCTATGCCTAGGGGTGCACCCTCACTAGGGCGCATCCCTTCTCACACGTACCTCGACAGAGTGCAGCACGGCCCGGAAGGTAGAGCGTTGGCGCCGGCGGTCAGCCTTGGCCCGATACTTGTTGCTGTCAGTGGCCAGAGTGCGCAGTGCGCTGCAGAGGGCCTCCATGTCCTTGTAAACAAAGTCCTCCTGCAGTGGGAGGACGTAGGAGCAGAAGCCTGAGCTCTGTTGGCTTTTAACGCAGTGGGGTCACCCAAACCCTTCCTTTCACCAAGAAAGTCATTTTCTTCTCTGCCTGACCCTCCCCTGCATCCCTTCTTGGCCCCTGCCTGCTCTAGACACCTCCACTAAGGGGCCCCATCAGAGCACTTGGCCTCAGAGTCTGTGTTGGGGCTACTTCCCCTCCATAATGACCTAAGGCTACCTTTTTTTCTGTGGCATCCCCTGCACCCAGCCTGAGATGGGCAGGTGGTGTCAGGAGGCACCCTCCCCTGCGCCCCCCCACCCCCCGCCATCTCTCACACCTCAAGGTCCCGGGTGAGCTCAAAGAGCAATGCGATGGTCTCGCCGGCAGCCATCCGCAGGTTCACACTTTCACTGGACAAGAGCTGGGGCAGCCGGGGCAGCTGCCTGGGGAAGGGGCAGGCTGAGCCATGTGGGTGGGCTGGGGGCCTTTCACCCTTCCCCTCCCACTCCCAGTGGGCAGTCACCCCTACCTGTCCAGGATGCGGCTGATATGGGCACTGGGGCAGATGGTGAGTAGCAAGGCCCAGGCCTGCAAGGCAGCACAGAGCAAGCCCTGAAGGCTGACAGGGACCACTGGGGCTGTGGAGCCACCCACACCACAGGACCGGCTGAAAATGCCTTCCAAGCAGGTGAGGCAGGAGACCAGGTCCTAGGGGCACAAGGAGGCAGGGGAGTGGCTCAGGGGCAGAGCTAGGGCCTATGTGCTCTACTGCCTGTGCCTGAAGGCTACTTACCTGTACATCGGTGGCAGCCACGTAGCAGCCCAGGCCAAGAGCAGAAGCGCACTGCTGGGAGGAGGGCAAAGCCAGGCCGTGGTCAGAGGGTGAGCCTGGGTTCCCAGCCACGGGGCTCACCCTTGGAGCAGGGGAGCCTGGAGGCAGGTGGAACCCGTGTCTCTGCTTAGGGATTAGGTGAAGGAAGGGTGTCACAGGGCAAGGAACACTCACGTGGAGCCGGGCAGCAGGGCTAGCTGTGCTGTCACTGAGCACAGAGACCAGCAGGGGCTGCAGGCTGTGGAATAACTCCTCACCCTTGGGTCCAGGACCCAGGTGAATGCACAGCAGGCCTAGCACAGCAGCGGCAAGGGCCTGTTCCTCGCCCTTCCCTGCGGGGATGCCTTCCAGTCAGTCAATGCAGCAAGGGCCAGTACCCAGCCAGTTCAGGCCCCCCAGGTGCGCCCCCAGGCCCAACCTTTCTTGAGGCACTTTTCCAAGGCATCAGCCAGTGTGAGGCGGCGCTCCAGCAAGAAGTCGGGGAGTAGGTGCGCTGCTAGGGCCAGACGCAGGCTCTCAAGAGCACCCTGCCGGGTCTTGGCACTGGGGGAGGAAGAAAGGGGTTTTGTGGGCCAATCCTACCTGGGTCACATTTGGCATGGGCTAAACAGGGACACAGGGGAAGGGATTGGTTGGAAATCAGGGGTACCTCTTGTCTGTGAGGCAGTCCACATATTCCTTCAACTTCTCCTCAAGGTCTTCCTGCTGACCCTGCTCATCCACGGCATCCCCCCCTGCAAGGCCAGCTCGTCATCCCCGCTTCTTGCCCTAGCCCACGGAGCCCCACTGAGTCCCTGCCATATTCCTACCCACTCTCACCAAAGCTTTCCTCTGCTGCGGTGCTAAGAAGGCTGGGACATTCACTGGTGGTGCTGCGGGCCTCACTGGCTGCCTCATCCTCACTGGAACCTGAGTCAGCTTGGGTACTGCTCCGGGCACCTGGGGAGGGCGGAATGGGGCACATGGTCTGCCTTCATTGATGAGCGATGGCTGGGGTTACCTCACCCGGCCTCACGACCCCACAAGACAGAATGCTGCCCTTCTCAAGGCTGAAGTGGGAGGCACAGAGGCTGGTGCCGGGGACTCTGAACCAGGAAGCAAGAGAAAGGGAAAGAAGTCTATCTGCTGGGGAGAGTCACACGCCAGGCCCCAACCTAGGATATCCTGGCAGGCTTGGTGAGCAGATCCTCCCTGAGACTAGAGCTTGCTTTAAGAAGGAGACTTAGAGGTGGGCAGAGGTGGAAGGGGCTGCACAGGCCCTACCTAGGCCTGTGGCTCAGCCTGCAGTGGGGCATATCCAGGCGCATCCTGGGGGAGCTCAACCACCAGCCCAGATTACTCCCCAAAATGGCCAGGGCAAGGGTCAGGGAAGTCTGACAGAACCGGGGTTCAAATCCCAGCTCTACATCTTAACAGGGGTGTAACCAGGTCAAGTGCCTACTCTTCAAAGCCTCAGTTTCTCCGTTGCAAAAGAGATGAGAAGCACCTCTTCTGGGCAAGGTTAAGTGAAGACAATGAGTAGACAAGTGACTAGTTACGCTATTCCGTGGGCCAACAAGCTCATCAGGTCACCCATCAGCACTGGGGGCAGAGGCCCAGCTCCTAGTGGATGTAGGTGAGTGCACCAGGCCTCAAGCATACTGTCTCCTGAGCCCCACTTGGTCCACTCCAGGCCTTCAGCCCTGGGTGGATGGACACACAGGCTCCTCCTGACCCTGGGAAGTGCAGAAAGCTGAGCGGCTCCTGACTTCATGAGCCCTTGAAAACAGGTGAACACAGGGGGCTGTGAGGGTCAGCAGAGCTGGAACACTTATGTGTAAGGGCAGCTGCTGCAGCAGGAGCCCCAGGCAGGTTCTGGTCACCAGGCTGGCCCTACTTCCAGGAACTACGTACATACTCCCTGTGCCTGCCGGACAAAGTCCATCACACACTGCTCACTCCTCTCTCACTACCCTAGCTGACCAAAGCAGCCCAGCCTTCCCTCATTTGTTTCACCATGCCATGGTCCCTCCAGATATCAGGCCCTCGCCCAGCGTGTTGCCACTAAGTAGTGCTCTCCTCTTCACCTTCTCAAGACTCACCCAGAAGCCCCTCCCCTGAGGCTTCCTTGGTTCCCGTCTGGGACTGACACCACTCCGTGAACTCGTCCCCCAGCACTAGGCCTTCTGGAGTATTGCTACTTTCTTCAATGTCCCCTTGTAACCAAGCAGGACCCTATGGGGTCTTCCTGGGACAGACCCCTCCACCATATCCTCTGTTGTAGTTCATCTCTTAAGTTCCTAGATAATAGTATCAGATGCACATTTCCTGAGTTGTTTTAAAGGTGCCAAAACCACCACCAAATGGAAGAAGTTAACTACGTGATGACCATGAGCACGTAGCCTCTACACCTACTAGCGCCTAAGGATTGATAATGTAAACACCATGACACTGCCCTGTTACCTCACCATCAACCAGTCAGAGAATTGTGCACGAGCTGATCACATTTGCTGGGACCCCTCTCCCTCACCTCGCCGTTAAAAATGCTTTATAGGGACTTCCCTGGTGGCGCAGTGGTTAAGAATCCACCTGCCAATGCAGGGGACACGGGTTCGAGCCCTGGTCAGGGAAGATCCCACATGCCGCGGAGCACCTAATCCTGTGCAACACAACTACTGAAGGCCACGCGCCCTAGAGCCCGTGCTCTGCAACGAGAGAAGCCACCACAATGAGAAGCCCCCGCTCGCCGCAACTAGAGAAAGCCAGCGCGCAGTAACGAAGACCCAATGCAGCCAAAAAGAAAAAAAAAAGTGCTTTACAGAAACCCTTCAGGGAGTTCAGGGTTTCTGAGCACCAGCCACGGCTTCTCCTTTTATTGGCGCCTTACAGTAAACATTACACTTTACTTCACCATAACCCAGTGTCACTGATAGGGACAGAGTAAAATGACAAAGCAAGTAATTAAATAGTTAATCCCAGTAAGGGATTATAAGAAAAAAGTATGGGAGACCCCTGTAAGTTAATGATCACTCAAGAAAGCAGGTTTGCTTAACCACAAACCCATGCAACAGAAGCATGAGACATGCTCCAAAACAACACAACAATGGTGGAA